ACCCTCGCGGCTGCGTTCTCTCTCTCTCTCTCTCCCTCTCCCTCTCTCGCTCTCTCTCTCTCTCTCTCGCTCGCTTCGTCCTGCCTCCCCACCACACTTGTCCTTCACCACATCTCGCCGCATCACTCACACACACGTGAAGGTGCTCGCCACCCTCCTCGTCCTCCTGCTGCTCCCCGTCTTCCTCTTTGCCGTCTTCCTCCTGCTGCTCGCCGTCCTCCTCGCCCTCTCCTTCCTCTCCCTCTCCTCCTCTGCCCGCTCTTTCGCCCCCGGCTCTCTCTCTCGCTCTCCCGGTGCCGGCCGCGCTCCCTCTTGCTCGCTCTCACACGGCCGGCCGGGCCCGGCCGCCACGTTTACGATTGGGGGAACGTCCGTCCGTCCGTTCTTCGGTATAAAGAGAGGCAAAGTGTCCCTAAAACTTTTACAATCGCCATGGTTGATGGCGTATCTTCCAATGCACGGAGCCCATAACCTAAGATGTACCGCGCTGCGCCGGGTCTCGGCCGGGCGGGACCGCCCCCAGCCCCACGTGTGTAGAGCCTTGTCGGCACTCGCCACTCGCACTCGTTTCGGCGTGGACGTCGACGTCCTGGACGCGCGCCGCTTCTTTCGCCGGCGTCATCGCGCACCTCGCGTGTTCGCGTGCCGCCGCCGCCGTCCGTTGACGGCGACCTCGTTGCGTCGGTCGTTGCAGCGCTGTCGACGGCGCGCGGGCGTCGTGAGTCCCCGAACGGTGGGGTGTCCGTCGTATTGGACGCGGCCTTGCCCGACCCGCGTTATCGGGTACCTCGTAGTGTCACGCAGTGACCCGGGTCGCCGTCGTCCGGGCCGTGCCCCCTCACCCCTCTCATTCTCTCCAGCCCAAACATATGATCAGTAGGCATCCTCTCACTTCCTCTCTCTCTCCCTCTCGCGCGCTTTACCCTCTCGACCCCAGCCGTCCAGATATCTCTCTTACTCTTGGTAGGAATCTTGCATCGCGCAGGTGATGAGTCCCGGTGCCCTCGACGAGTAGCACCCGTGAGCGCTACTCGAGGAGCGCCCCCCCTCTCCCCCCGTCGCTGTGGCTCATGCGCCCACCCCCACCCTTCCACCGCTCCCTTCTGCCCCTCTCCCCCCCCCCTCTCTCTCTCTCTCTCTGTCTATCTCACTCTATCTCTCCCCCTCTCTCCCTCTCTCTCGCTCTCTTGCTTTGTGCCTCCCCCTCTACTTTCCTCCGTCATTCGGTAGTTATTCTTTTATAGCGAAAAACCGAGGCGCGCGGGTTCCCTCTGTTCCGCAAGTCAGTCAATGTAAGGTTTCCTCGTTCCTCTGGAGGAGTTGTCACACCGGCGGGCGGGAGCGAGCGAGCGTCGCTGAGTTGGGGGGAGAGAGAAAGAGCGAGAGAGAGAGCGAGAGAGCGCCGCCATCCTGCTACCTGTCAGAGGCCCTGCCCGAGGCTCACCCGGCCCGCCCCGGCGCGGCACATGAACTGTTGACAGTCTCGCGTCGTCGGCGACGGAGCCTCCTCCGTCACGTGGACGACGTCGGCATCACGATCTTCGACGTGCATTGAGATCCCTGACACGGCCGGCGACCCGGTGGACTGTGCGCGTGCGCGTGCGTGTGTGTGCGTGTGTCTGTGTTGTGTTCAAGTGCTCCAAGTGATTGTGCTTCAGTGCTTTGTGTTGTGCTTACACCGCTTTGTTTTTGTTTTATTTTATTCATTCCGTATTTTACAATATGGTGGCAAAGTGAATGATGTGTTGTGTGTTATTTTCATTTTATTTTCAAACCGCTTCCTTTCGCGAGTGAATGCAGTAGTGTGCTTCATTTTGTGTTTAAGTTGTTGATTTTGTGCTTGCGCTTGATATGGTGTGCACTGCAAGTAGTGAGAGTGGGAAGTGCTACACTGTGCGTGAGTGCGCGCCACAGAGTTCGTGCGTGTGGTTGGTGTGACCGTGCACTGACAGTGCTGCACTGTGCGTGAGTGTTCGTGCGTCGCGTGCGTGCGTGTGGTGGTGACAGCGGCGTGGACGCCTCTCCCTACCTGTTGATCTGAGTGGGGCATATCGCTCACTGATTGGAGACCAAGTCAGCTGGGGCCCCTCAGAGTGGCCTCTCTGGGTGGCCGCCATATTGGAATCGGCTTTGTGAAAGGGGACCCCTGCGGCAACCAGTCAGGTGAGTCAACAAGCCTGTCCCTTCAAACGAAAACATTGTCATTACCGGCCATACACCCAAGAAAAAGTGTTATTTCGGAATCTTTGTTTTCATATGAACAAGATGTATTGAATCTTGGTTCTAAATTCCTATTATCAGAACCTGTAATAATCAACCAAAGATGAATGTGTTGACACAATTCAAATACTTTCTTTATTCATACAATTTGGATTATTTAAAGCAGTATGTTTTGTGACTAGGTGTCATATGTGCTCTACTTTTTATGCATATCCTCACTGGATCTGATTTAAAGAAAATTAAGCTGTCGACACTGTTACAGGATGCACATGTGACTTGAGCTGAAAACCAATCTTTTCTTATCGTATTTTCTGTCGACAGCTTACTTTTTTGTAAGAGGATGGTTATTGCGCTAAGTAAACGTCTTGTCCTCAGCGATGTTTGCTGAGCCCGGCAGTCGGCATGCGAATGGCTGCATTATTGGTTCGCATGCCAACTGCGTGTGAGAGCCTCCTGGCTTGTGCTACAAGCAGTCACGAATACATGTCACGAAAACGCTAGAAAAATTGTCGGTGAATAGTTTCACCTGTCCCCCACCCCTACAGTCACCCTAAAAAATGACGGGTAAAATTCGTGACTATTTCGGGTTTGTAGGAAGAATATTTTCCATTTGTGTCTTCAGAACTTCTTTTTAAAGTTTCAGTAGCACCTCTGCTCCGGTTCTTTGGTACTTTTGAGGAGCAAACGATTTAATTTCTCTAACAAATTTGATGAGTCTGTTACCATATATCAAAATAAATGCCGGAAAGAAATAGCACACGAACCCTGTCCGGAAGCACTGGAAGCACAATTCTTGATAACCGTGCATTGAAGTCTCCACCGGCTGGAAATATAGAAAACTACATGAACTAGAGATTTTCTTCTGGGACGGAATGTAAAACTTGAACTTGAGACTTGTAGAAATCGACCAGAAAACGAGAGTAAACTGCGGCGCTGTTGGCCAACGCGCGAAGAGTCCGCCATCTTCCGAGCCACAATGTCGGCAGCCGGGCCGGGCAACGCCCGCCGACCCGTCCGGGCGCAGTCGCTGAAGCGAGTGGAGCGGGGCGGGGCCGGCCGAGCGACGCGCTTCGAAAATACGCCACATTTGGAGTGTTAATACGAATAACGCTATTTTTTCACAAAGTAGTTTTTCAGTTTCGTATTGAGCAATGAGCCATATTTTCATGGCAAAATCGCCCGATGCAGAATGTTTGCTCCGGTAAAGCGGTATTCAGATACAGTCGTTTTGATTTTTGTTTCTTTGGCGCTGTATCTTTTTCTGCTCGGCAGCGGGCGGAAGGAGATGACGACGCTGTAACAAGGATGGGTGGCAGCATGCCAGGCGGGCGGTGAGAGGATCTGCCACCGGGGCTCTGACATTGTAGGCGTCGCGTAGGGACCAGCAACAACACCTGTGCGAAAGCAAAGCACACCGCAGAAAGAAATAGTCAAAGTTTTTTTCTGATTCTTTGGTCCTTGGTCCTTGGTGCTACTGTACCTGGCCATCATTTTCAGCAAATTGCCCTTCAATCGTAGTAGGAATTTTTATAAGCAAGACCTGCAAGCCTGGTAAGCTTTAAAGATTTATCAATCACTTTTTTGAGCTTGCGCGTATGATTACAGTTTTGGGGCAACGTTACAGATGAAAATTTTCCTTATGGCTTTAAGTAGTGTTATTCTAGCTAGAAATTAACATACGTAGTAACAATTATTTTAGTTTTAGAAAACGGCAGACAAAATGTCCTAAATACCGTTTTGACCATTAAAAATTGAGGGAATTCTTGTTTTTCAAACCAACACTAATGAGTTCTTATGGGTGTAGCAAGCTGTAACTTTGCCAATTTGTTTTTGATGTTCAACATCAATATTAGCTGAGAAATCATGCGCGCAAGCTTTTTCTATCAAAGAAGAAGAAAATTATTGGGACTCTATAAGTATCTGAGAGTTATCAAGGTTAAGAGGAATCCAATGCACCAGCCCATTTATGAGTCAGATTATTCATTTATCCCGTATTAGGGGCTGAAAAAATATCACTAAAATCTCACTTCATCCCCCGTCCCCTCTGAGATGACAACTGGTGCAAATTGCTATGTCTCAAAGATTGCGTTGCATCGGGAATCTGATAAGGGTGGGGTGGCAGACGGATAGATTTAGAGTGGGGGGGGGGGGGAAGACAAAATTTCAAAATATCAAAATTTATCCACGAAAAGGGCTATGGAGCCCCACCGTACGAGAACCCACTCCTCTGGCAGGCTGATTGGGATTTAATTACATGAAGAGAGGGAGAGAGTGAGTGAGAGAGAATGGCAAGTGAGCGAGCCAGCAGGGGTGGGACCTAAGCCCTCCCCTCTGACGGGGGGCGCGAGGCAATCGGCAATCTGCTGCAAGGGTTATTTACATTCGCAGTGCATCAACCGTTGCAGCTGTTGCAGGATACTTGCAGAGAATTTCAATTGAAGGACAAAATGGCGAGTAACGGTGCGGGCTGCTGCTGCTGCAGCAGCCCCTCTAGTTTCATCAGGGTAAAGTGGCTCGCCTGCTGATCAATACGGACGAATAACGTTTATAGTCAGTCTCTGCGATGATAAAATCCATCAGGACAGGGGTGGGCTGCTGTTAGTGTTGCCAGGGGATTTTCTCTGTTTGTGCGCGTGCGTGCAGATATTGGGGGAGGGGAGGGGTGGACAAACAGCAAGAGACATATTCGCCATGACGTAAGATGGCTCCTCTGAGCCCTCTTTCTCTATCTGGCCCTTGCTCTGTCTCTGCCTCTGTCTCTCGCTCACTCAATACCCATTCTTTCGATATTTGCAACCGCAGCATTACAAAGTCCAGTCATGCGACACACTTTCGATCGTCATGATTTCGTCCATCAGGGTGCGTCGGTGCAGTGGAGTGTCATTATTTGAAAAGACTGGGCCCCGAAATGCGAGTCCACGCTCGCGGCGTGTCGAAACGCAGCGAACGTCTGTGTTTGTTAATTCAATGATTGAAAAGGCGGCGGGAGGAACGCAGCCACGCTGCGGCGTGTTTGCCTTACTCTGCGTAAGCCGCCGCAGTGGGAAACCTGACCCCGGCTGAATATACTTTTGTCATGATATGAATATGAATGCGTGCGTCGCTGCCCCGCAGCTGCGGCGTATCATTCTTATTCACATCGTCCGTATTAGTAGCTAATGATGACAAACACGCGACTCAAAAAAAAAAAAAAAAAATGCTTACAAGAGCATATAAGAAAGAAAATCTCAGCGGTTTTCCTGGCACGTAAAGCGCGGTCTTCATGTGTACAGCAGCTTATTGGAGGGCTCTGCAAGAAGAGAAAGAGAGAGAGAGAGGGAGAAAAATAAAGAAGGGGCGTTCTTATACGGCTGCTTCCACCTCCCGGGCCCCCCTCCACGCCTTTTCTTCGACGAGTCTGCGGATAAAGTTGATTATGCAAAGCCCCGCCATCATATCTGTCAGCGTGAGAACGCTTACATGAAACTTTGTTGCGCGTTTTGCCCCGCCATGTTGCCGAGTTACTGAGTTTTTCTCGGAATGACCACCCAGCAGCAGCTCGCGTCGTTTGAGCAGGCGACGTTTCCATTTCACGCCGGGCGTTATTTTCTGCCTCAATGTTGTACACTCTTAATCAGTTGGGTGAGCTAATTATGGCCAAACGATTTGGCATCGGGACCCGGCGGCAGTGATGATGTCCCCGCGTGTCTGGCTGCGGAGGGACGAAGGACACGCAGCGGAGACGAGATGCACCCTGCGGGCCTGCTCTGCTCTTCCCTCGAAAGCCATGTCCCCGGCGCACATTATGCATCGGAGGTATGGGCTCTCGCTGCACTTTAGAAAGTAGGTCAACCGATAGAAGGGAAGTCGTCGTCTCTCCCTGTTGAGAGGAAGGGAGGAGAGAGAGAGAGGGGAGTGGGGGAAGAAAAAAAAAGAGGGACGGTCCCTCTGCGAAGAGAAAGTGTGACTTCCAGACGGGGTGAGCCCAAAGAGGGGGTCCCAATTACCATACCGCTCGCCCCGGAGGGTAGGGTGAGGGTGGGTGGGTACAATTAAACGGTCTCTCTCTCTCTCTCTCTCTCTCTCTCTCTCTCTCTCTCTCTCTCTCTCTCTCGCTCGCTCGCTCGCTCCCTGGGGTTGGCCCGGTGTTGGGGTACTTGCCCTGATAGTGTTTATACACAGCGGGGGCAGCCGTACACAAATGGGGCGGGCAGAAGGGTCATCGCCCAGAGCGGTCTGCTTTCTCCGCAGCCTTTTCTTTCTGTCTGCGCGCCGCCGCCGCCGCCCCCGTCACGCATGTCACTGCCCTGTCGAAACTCCTTCGTGCTGCTGCTCTGCGCGCGGCCGTTATACACTTTATATTTGCGCTCGAAAAATAAAATAAAGTAATACGTTTCAAGGAAATGACTACCTCCGGTGGAGGGAATTTTTTGAATAATTCGAATGGATCCCCGCACGCGAGAAGTCATGCAGATTAGCGAGATGCAGATTGTTATTGCAGTTTTAATGCAGACGAAGCCCGGGGTTTATTCTTGCAGTTTAGTGTTCGGCAAGGGCCTTCAGGACGCGAGGAGGCTGCATGTTTTTTTTTTTAACCCTGGTTGCGCGCTGTCTGAATAAGCAGGGAACCGAAGTATTCGGACACTTTTGCTCCGATGCATGCAGCTCGTACCGAAAGAGCTGCCTCACCTTCGCCTCATCGATCACTCCGTTCCGATGGGGATGCGTGAGACCTCTGGGAAGGACATGCGCGCGCTGCGGGGCTCGTAAGGAACTCCCCCGGGGGCTGCCGCGCGCAGGACCTCTCGGAGGACCTCTCCCAGGACGGCCCGCGCGCCTCTGCAAAATGTCGCCCGCGTGACGCGCGCGCGACGTCGCCATTTTGACTCGCCCTCCTCCTTTCCCCTCTCCTTCGCCTCCAGTTACGGTCCCAGGCACTGGCACTTCAGCGAGGGCATTACAAC